GGTTTCGTAAAGCTTCAATTAAAGCTGCATCACGAGCTTCAATCCATGCTCTCTCTTTAGCCCAAAATTTGTGCTCTCTATCAAGCCTGGCTGCGTTTTCTTTCCTCCATTCCTCCTCCCTTGATACCCTCTCTTTCTCCTTTTGTTCAAGGGTCTTCGTCAACTTCTCTATCCAAGCCTCTTGCCTCTCCATTAGCTTCTTCATCTGGGAGTCCATAAACTCTTCTATCTTCACCTTCCATCTCGCACTATTACCCTTTTTCCTTTCCTCTTCAATGCCTCTGCAGTTATCAAATCATTGTCACCTGAGGTGTAAGTGTCGAATTCAGATGAATTAGAGAGGCTAAAACTATCACAGTGCTTTCGATCAGAGTGAGAGAGCTCATGATTTGCTTGAGAATGGCTATCATGAAACGGGAAACTGCTGGTGTCTCATATAGAGCTTCAAGGTATCGAAAGAACCTATGGTGCTTGCCATCATGTCTGCCGGCCTTCACTTCCCTAGTCCTTTGGTAATACTTGAACAAGTTTTCAAATTTTTCCTTGCATGTTTCCCCACTCCTTCGATATCCATGTTCTTCATACATGATCCTACAACAAAAAGGGAAAATTACGGAAATGATAATGAATTAAAGTCTAAAATTTAAAGAAAACTAGTATCAATGGACAGGAACCCTAATTAAGATGTGAACTTTGCCAATGTTATGGAAAAAACCGTGTTTCCACTGCTGAGCATTGTGCAGTTTGACCCCTAGTAAAGCAAGCATATAGCATGTTATTTGACCATTCAAAATTGCAGACAGCGATGTGTCTTTGCCAAGGGACTGATAGGACGTCTTTTCACTGATGAAATTAGCAGGTGTAAAAACATTCAAAAGGGTTGGTCATCTTTTGGTAGTAAAGAAGAACCAGTAACAGTTTTCACAATAATGGAGACGACACATTTTCAAAGGCAAAACAACTCATTGCAAGACTATTAAAATGGTCCGCCTTCTTAAAAATACTAATATTAACACTTAACAGCAACAAACAAGATGGCGTCTTGTTTCTTTAACATGAATTAGGCTTACATTGCTCTGTTGAAAATCATGTAATGGATGGACATGGAACGCAAAGCTTACTTTAGGTTAGTAATTTCTTTAGCTAAATCCATGAAATAAGAAGAATGAACAACCCATTTCATATCAGTAGCTAGGAAAAAGAAACGAATTGTTGAATTAGGGTATGGCAGTATATGAGTGTATACGTACCTGGAAACTTCATCCCACAAAGGACCCTTTTGATTAGCTTCTTTGAACATGGGATGAAGACGAGATCTGATCTCAACAAGTGTTAAAGCCTCTTGCCTAGGCCACCTCCCAGTAGCTACACAATCAAACCCACAACTGGCACTTGGGGCAGCAGTGACAGTAGCAATGACCTTATTAGCAGTAGAATCTGAAGGGAACTCTTGATGAAGCCCACAATACATCAACTGATCAGCACCAATTTGTGTACCCACCGTTTGCATCGTGTCAAAGTGATAGTGATGATGGGATCGCGGTGGTGGCCGCAGATCCCGGTGGCAGCAGGAGAATAACTGTGGAGGAATCTGTGGAACTGGAATTGCTTGGAAATTTGTTGGCCTTCCACTGAGCAGTTCATCAGGCATGCCGTATTGATGGTCCATTTCCACTCAGCTCGGTCGGACCGTCTTGCTCCTACAGATAATTTTCCTTCTAATTGCTCTCAAGTAACCTAAGTTAAGCAAGAGTGAACTTTTTGTTCCCGTGGGACGTGCGCGAGAGAGACAGAGAGAAGGTAATTAACGAGGGACACATGGTTGAAGGCAAGGCGACAAAAATGATATTGCAGGAAAGAAGAGAGTAGCTCAGTCGCTGACTACTGGTGAACCAGTGAATTCATGGCATGTAAACTAGGCCTTGGCCCAAACTATTCATTTGTATTACATCATTCTCGAGTTTGAGTTGAATTATTGGCAGGATCAACGTCCTGGAGAAGAACAGCTGATCAGTTTAAGGCCATGGAAAGACTAAAAGTGTAGCCTTGTTTGGGTTTGAACGTAAACGATGAAGGTGGTAGTACTTCCTGGCTGCCCCATGTGATTACAAAAGATTGATGGTGATATATGCAAACAACTGTGGCCATTTTCTACTACTACATAGTACATCCCTCCCCCTCTCAATTTAATGCTTTACATTGCTGCTTCTGTGCAGCTCTGATTTTTTTGGGAAACTGCATTGCCATTGCTAGAAAGAAACCATAGAACGTTAAACATTAATATCAAAAATCACATCTGATTAAAATCAACAAAGGATAGGCATCAAGACATTTATCTTAAAAAACAGAAATAGGATTGTCAAGTAATGAAGAAAAATGGGCAATTGGATTTGGAGACAAGAACTGAACAGTAGAATCTCTTGCTTTTATCTGGGAGAGTGATGGCTTGCTTTTCAAGTCGCAGATTGATCCATCCATGCATTATACACACACACACGCACACACCAAAGTAATTCAAGAAGCAATAGATAAAAAGAGGTGCGTTGGGGGGGGGGGGGAGAGAGAGGCATGAATGGCAATGGCTCATAATTTTTCATTATCTAGTAATTATATTTTAAAATTTGCATTTTTATCATAATTTTATATTTTATAGTTTGAGTAATTGTGTAATATTAATTGTTATTGTCCGTTAATATCAATAGCTAATAATTGGTACTTAACATTATAAAAAAATAGAATATACAAAAGTATAAAACAATTAAGAATAAAAAATCAAAATTATGATTTGGGTAATAATATAGTATTTAAAATATATATTTTAAAATATGGTCTATCTCAAAATACTCTTCCAACATCTCTTCAAAAACTATCTCTGCAATTTAAACCTAAAAATTAAAAGATTAAAAAAGATCACATCATTTAAAATAATTCATTATCATAATTCTAAAGGCTAAAACATATTATCCATTTATAGAGTCAAATACTTGATCAACATGAATCATTATTCCATAAGAATTCATAATTAAATAAACTTGATAATCAAATAATCTTTAACCAAAGAATCACACTAAAATTGCAAATTAGTTTCTAATTAGAATTTGAATCAATCTAATAGTATTTCCCTTGACATAAATTCAAGAATTAGTCTTAAAATCTTCAACATCTTCAATTCTTATGTAAGTTAAATAATCGTTGAAGTTCTGCCGTCAAGTTTCAATAAATTCAACTCCTACGATTAAAGCATCCTAATTATTTGTTTCGATCACAGTAATAGTGTCCTTAAAGTATGAAATTTCATTGTTGGACCGCAACATAAAATTTGAGTTAGGGAATATTTAATAAGAAATCTAATTTAGCTAGGTAATCTAGAATCAAAATGGTGCATATGTGAATCCATCAAGTGACTTTAATGGTAAAATTGAATGTTGTTCTCCCTAGAGGACCTCGGTTCGAGTAGTTGTATATGGGTGTGTGCGTGTTGTTAATGGGATAAAAAAGATATGAACATACACTACATTATAATCACACCAAACTATTAAAAAAAAGACGATTATACTCTAGTGAAGGTGGAGCTATGAAACTTTGCAACCATCGTGATAAAATAAAAAAAAAGTTGTCATGTTTTATGTTTTGCAGGTTTCAACAATTTTCGAAGATAAAGTTATTTTCCTTTCGTGTCAGATGATGACTTTATCAGTAAATACATCTTGATTGAATAAAGAAAATGAGAAGTTTTATATTTGAACAAGGCAACTATAGACATAACGATTCTAGAAAGCAGAAAATAATTAAATTACGAGCATAAAAGATTCAAAAAGAAAAAGACAGTTCAATTTTGTAAGCATAACAATTTGAGAAGCATAAAAGAATTCATTTTATCACATGAATAAATAACACCAAGAATAAAATTATTTTTAAAGTATTTTATTGTCGGGAGTAGGCGTAAAAAAGAAACTAGATCTTCATAGAGATTTAATGAGGTTGACATGTTATTTAAATATAGCATTATAATTAATGATGAGAATCATGTTATGCATTATATAGCTCGAGGTGATACAATTATAAGCAAAGTTGACACTTATGATAACCTTATTGATGTGAAGTCTAAGTTACCTCGTACATCCAAGTTTGGGCAAGACTTGATTTCAATTAGCAATTATTGTTGGAGAATACTCCTTTAAGAGACTTCATGAAAGAAGTGGAGAATATGTTCTCAATGTGAAAAACTTTCGTTGATATGGAGAATTGATTTTTCTTGAGTTTGGGTGTCATTGAATTTGAGATTTTATCTCAAACTTCTTTCTATTCAAAACTCGTGTCAATGTAGAGATTGCTAGAATTTAGCCTAAATTCGATCTTACTCAAATTGATTGAGAAAAGTAGAAAACCTAATTTAATTGAAAGTGTGAAGTCTATTATAATTTATGTTGATAGTGAGTAGAAAACATAGTTTGAGTAGATTTCTTGCTATGCAAGTCTCTTTTGTAATCAAGTAATTATCCATATAAATAGATACTATAGATTAGGGTTAGAAGTCAAATTGTTCATGGGGAATTTTTTTGTTTGACTTTTTTCGTGATTTTTTACGAAATATTTTTTCACATAAAATATGTATCTATTTTACTGTGATCACTGTAGGACGATAACCAATTAACCACTAGTCTCTCTTTTTTTTACCGTCGAGCAACACTATAGATAGTGGTAAACACGGTACTCCATGTGAGGACCAGTCAAATACATTTATCACCCTCCAACTTGAGGGGAGTGTAGAAATGACAGTCAAAGAAAGAAGACCGGAAAGGTGCAAACTACAAAATGATACAGCTAAAAATCTAGTCATATAATGTTGTGTTTTAGATATATTGTCCTATCAATGCCAAAATTTGCTTGCTATTACCAGACAACATTCTGACTTAACAGTGTAGTACCAGACACTTCACATTGATGTAGAAAATTATGTCATTATTATTATATGAAGAGCTAGAAGTTGTACATATATCTCATTAATGCCACCATCTAGACACCATTGAACCCTCTCTAAATACATGATTGCATATACATGATGCCCTCCTTTCACCATTACATCTTTCTAATTAGTTCTATTACTTAACGAGCAAGTCAGGCTGTGCTCGGCATCATCGTAACAGCTTCAAAGTATGTTCCCGATCAAGCTCTGGTTAACGAAACTAGCTCTTCCGATATTTCTTTCATCAGTAATCCGAAGATGGTGTGTTCGACTTCTAATGACATCTCTCTCATTTGCACTTGATGTCTTTTCCAACAATCCAGCTCTTTTCTCAAATCTTGTTCCACCATCATGTCAAAGGTGTTTGATTCCACCTCCTTCCATGACTCCAGCCTCTGGCAAACCCTTTTGATTGCCGCTTGTCTATCGACGTTGCCGCTTTGTTCTGTCTCTTCCTCGGCGATGAGATCGGTTACCAGCCTTTTCATTCCTTCCGGGACATGTCTCGGATTGCGGAAGCTTGAGTTAAGAACTTGGAGAAAGCCAACAACATTCGTTTCAACATCGGATGAAATAGATTCATTTCCGGATTCCTCTTCTTCAACGATGCAAATTCCACCGTTATCGTCATCTTGATCTTCTTCTAACATTATCTTCTCGAGCTCAATCGGATCCAATCCAGCCAGTTTCTCGAATCTACGAAGTTTGTGCAGTAGCTGCTGCTTTGCTCCTGGTGATAAAACAAGGATAACCAAAGAGGATATCGATATAATATATATAAATTCACTCTCCGACATAAAATCTTGTATCCTCCTCTAATGTCAGACGAGATTAATCAGTGTCTTGAATCAATCAAAAGCATCAAATTTTCAAAACAAACTGTGAAAAATCCGACAAACCGAAGAGTAAAAAAGTACAAGCACAGTCAAGGCGGATCTCCTAACATTGAAAATGTGGGTCACACATGAAGTTATGACAAACAGACATGGGTGTCTGCTTCATCAACTGCTCATATAGCTTAAACGAACACATACACATCATCATATTTAAGATGCTTACCTTCATCAATCAAATTAAACTATGCATTAAATGTGGAATGACATAGAAGCTGACAGATAAAGACCACACAAAAGCAAAAGGCAAGGGGTACAATTGATTCAGCAAACATACTTTGTACGACCGCATAGCTGCATTCAAGATCGAAACCATCGTTTTCATCACAGTCATTCACGTGTCTATCGTCGTCATCGTTCTCGAACCGAGGGTCCAGCACAGATACTGGACTGCATTGTTCTTTCTCTTCATCATCCTCTTCTACTTGCAGTTTCTTCAATCTCTCTACTTCGTGATTTGCCTCGTCCTGTCACAATCCATCCAACAAGAACCTTTGAGTAACACATTATATTCTTTTTCATTCGATAATGTTCTTCAACAGGTTTAATGGTGAAAGAATTAGAATTAGAGTTTTGACTTTTGTTATAAAAAATGGCAAATAAAAAGAAAGATGTAGTAATCTAGCGACAGTTGTCTGATTTTCGTGAAGGGGTCCAACAGAAAAAACAAAACAAAAGAAAAAACTGTCCCTTGAGGTAAATGTGATAGGAAAAGTAAATGACATATATAACCCTGAAAGCAATTCAAACCTTCCAACAAAATGAGTCCGAGAGTGGCAGGGTATATTTGTCAATTCAGATCCAATTCCGGCAAAATATTTTGTAAGCAAAGTTGATTACATTTGCCGACAGTTCAAGCATGTCAGAGAACTCAGTCAGTCACCTGAGTCCTGAAGAACTCCGTAAAGGAAGAGGCTTTAAAACAGACAAGATTCGCTGCTCTAATTAATCAAATTATTACTAATCTTTCTTTAAATGTACTAACCTGTTTTTCGGGGGACGTCCCCGGGGAAGAGAAGAGGGGTGTCCGGTGCCCAAAAGAAGGGTTTTTTTGGAGCACGAAATGAAAAGGGCTCTCGCAAGAAGAGAAGGCTGGATTGTTCCCTAAAACATCTCTGGACGACATTAAAATCTCTTCGAAATCCTCGGATTGACTACAGCTACATGAGGTATCCAAGGATTTTTCTTCATTGCTTTCCGACCAAACAGCGCTGCTTGGCCTACCATTGTATGAACATGAAAACCCCATTCCGTAACCACTCTTGTCTTCCGATGAAGACATTTTCGTTCGACTTGGATTGTTTTTGGCCACTGTTGGATCCCTGTTTAATATGTCCTTGACTGAAACTTTTGCTCCGTCGTTAGCTATTTCACGCCTACGGTTTCTATTGCGGTGCGTTAGCCTCTTCAGGATGGAACTTAAGAACCCAAAACTAGCGCCGCCGTTGTGTTTGGTTTTCGATGAAGATTGCTTTTGAATCCTGAGAGCGGCTTCGAGGAGAAGAGCAGCCGTTTTAGCTGGGATGTGAAGGAAAATGGCGTTGGGGCTTCTGCAGGGGCTTGTACCAGGGGAAGCCAACTCGAACAACGGAGACTTCCTGGAGAAAAAGCAAGCGTTTTTGCAGGAACTTGAAGGGGAGTTGGAGTTTCGGGAGACGGGTTTTCGTTTCTTGATCTGGAGATGAGTTAAAGGTGACGGTTTGTTCAGTTGACAACGCCTATCGGCAATGTACTTGTTCAGAAGAAATGGCTCTTGATTCTCCTCGAGCAACTCGTGCAAATGCTTGTGACCCATCATCACAAGGAAAGTGAAAATTCTCAGCAACTTATGGATTTCAACAGCAGCATGAAAGAGTTGAAGAGGATTCAACTTTAAAGAAATGGAATGCAAAAAAGTGGAGATTTTGAAGAAGAACAACCTGGCTTACAATTTACAAACAAAAGAACAGAGACAAATATAGAGAAGAGAGAAGCGAAGAAATGAGGAGAGTTCCTGATTCAAATCTGGAGAGTTTACAATATCGAGGCAAGAAGTGATAAAAAATCAAAATTATTATAAAATAATAACAGTCATAAGATTTAGACAGTGGAAAAGGATAGGCATGTAAACGAATCGAACGCACACGGACGGATGTATGTTCATGTTCGTTCATTTAATAAATAAGCGAACATAAACGAACACGAACATAAACGAACAAAATTTTTTTTTGTTCATGTTCGTTCATTAAGGAATATAGCTTGTTCATGTTCGTTCATTTAATAAATAAACGAACACAAACATAAACGAACACGAACAAATGAACACGAACATAAACGTTGGAGATCCTACCTTCCATTGTTCTTTCATGAAAAATAGTCGACAATGCAAATCAACCAAATCTACAGTGATAATAGCATAAGAGCTGATTAGTAGTGATGAAATGTTTGAAGATATCAGATATTTCGATCAATCTTTTAAAGATATTAAATGATTCACACAACTTTAGAGTTAATTTGTTCGAACACGACAAAAACATACATAAATCATAAGTAAGCTATATGAATATAATAAAGTCTTAAAGTTAATTTGTTCAACAAAACAATCTTTTTGAAATCCAAACAACTTCAATAATATTCGTAACATATTCAACTTGCATTCATAATCAGTCGTTAATTCATCATCCATCCTGATCAAAATCAAACAAATAAAATTATATTAAATTAAAGGAGTTATAACAAAAGATGAAAAATATACTAAATTAGCGAGGTTATACCAATTCATTTATCCTCATTTTCAAGGAATCTCAACATGTATGATATATTCGTTTTGCTACAACAAATCAAAAAACCAAAAATATATTAGTCATTGTAAAACCAAATTCAATAAAACTTAAAACATAAAAATACCTTGTTTTAATTTTTTTCCAACCTATAGTATTGACGATATCAATCAGCTCCACAAACAAGCACCAGCACTGAAAGCAGATTCAGAAGCAACAATAGTGACCGGAATTGCCAATATGTCAGTAGCCATTTTTGACAAAATGTTAAATTTAATATTGTTCTCCTTCCACCATCCCAGTCCACAGTCTTCATCTTTCCCAAGCCCCGAACCTTCCTACCATACGAGTCCCTCATCTTCCTTATGCCCGAGTCTGACTCGTTTCAATTCAAATACCTCGACTCACCTCATTCCATTCCTCCGCAACATTGCAGCCATATCCAGCAGCGCTCCACTGACCACGCCACTTTCTTCCCCCACTAGAGGATATAAGCGCAAACCTGACTGGGACTCCCTAAGGGCAACTCTAACGCGGATGACTGGGCAACGAGGGGTGGGCTGGAGAAGACCGACTGGTCGAATGCACCGTTCATAGCGGCGTACAAGGGGTTCTACATCGTTCAAGATGCCACAAAAAATCCCTAAATTCACACCCCAAAATTAACAGACCAAAAAAAATTTCAAATTATTTACCTTATGAAATCACGTTCAAGAAGGGAAAGAGATGAAGCTCTGTCGAATCGTTGGAGTTGAAGACTTGAAGCTCCGTCGAATCGTTGCAGAAATGAAAATTGTGGAGGGTGGGGAGAGTTGAGAATCAAGAACAGCTGAATGACGGGTTGGAGAAGAGTTGAGAAAATATTGTTTTTAGATTTAGGGTTTTTTGTATTACCGCTTAATCAGGTTGTAAAAGTGGGGTTAATTATGAAGTTGATCATCAAAATATCATATTAATTAATATTTTTAAGATACATACAAATTGGTCACCAAAAATTGATTTAAGAATATTAGGTTAAACATAAATGAATGCACATAAACGAACATAACTAAACGCATATAAACGAACATAACCGAACGTTCACGAACGTAAATGAACGAACGAGACCTATGTTCATGTTCGTTCATTTAATTAAACGAACACAAAATCTTGTTCATGTTCGTTCATTTAATAAATAAACTTACATAAACGAACTTCCCACCGCACGATTCATGAACGGTTCGCTGAACGTTCAGTTCATTTACAGGCCTAGAAAAGGAAATGACTGCAAATTGCAGGTGTTTTTAAGGCACTACTAACTACTTTGTGTAATACTAGCGGGGATCAGGTGAGATCCATTAATTTTTTTAATAGTTTGGAGGATTATAAAATAATATTTATTTAAATTATTTATTTAATTGATGATGTATTTATATCTATAAAGTCAGCTTATTAAATTTAAAATCTCTTAAGGAATAATATTATTTGAGATCACTTTATGAATTCAATACATTATAATTATTATGTTAATGTCCAAATATAATACTTCAATAAATTATCTTAAATGTTGGTTCAAAAATAATATATCTCAAATATATACTTTGATAACTTTTTTATAAATGCTATTGTAATGAACATTTTAATGTGGCGTTTCGATTTTTGCCTTTGTTGAAAAGAGCTGAAACAATAAACAGAAAAAGAACGAAAAAATAAAAAGATACAAATTTATTTTTTATATTAGTATGAAAGATGAAAAAATCCCAAAAAAAAAATTATAGATGATACTTGTAAACTTGATATGTCTCAATCAAACACGACTCCCTAATTATATGCTGTGCAATAAAAACTTTTTTTACTATTAATCTTAAGCGATTACAAGTTATAATATCTGTTTTAGAGACTTCCAACCATTTAACTATAAATGTTCAAATATCTCATAGATGTTGGTGTTCAAACCCGATGCATTTAAAGATAATGAGCATCACTTTTCAACCACTTAGTTAACTTGGTATAAAACTTAATCATTTTTAAATTTTGTCTTTGTATAACCTAAACAAATATATTAAACTTTACAGCTACACAAAAATAATTTCACATTATAGTGCTACAACTTTGGGCATTTGTTTTTCCCCCAACTAATCCACTAAAAAGGTCAAAAGAAAATATTACCAATCATATTGAAATGACTTAAAGAAAATGTTATCAATTATATTAAAATGACTTAAACTACCTTAAAAATCAATCTCAAACAACTATTCCTTAAACTCAATTAATAAATACCGTCAAAACAATAAAGAATACTTTTTAATTGATTTACGAATTTATGATCTCTAAAAATAATAATAATTTTTTTAATTAGGAAAATAAATTATTTTATACCATGACTAACATGTTAAAAAAATAAAATATGCGTTTGAGTATGGGCCACGTGTAGAGGTGGTCATTTATGTGGATAGATGTCGGGCTTAGAATGCGAGTTGTTGGGTTGTTCCATACCTCTGTAGGTTATCAAATTAAAGCATGAAGCGTTGACCATAAAAAAAAATATCGCAAAGTCAGCCTATAATCTCACGAAAAAAAGAGATATTCTTGAGAGCCGAGATGGGGAGAAAACGACAAAAGAAAAACAGAAGAGCGCGCGTGCTAACTAAGTTACAGATTTCGGATCTTTGACGCTCCTCCCCACTGCCTGTCATCCTAATTCCCAACCCCCATTTTTTTTGACCTTTTTCTTTTTGGCTTTTACAATATAAATTACATGGATTATTAGTATAAAAAATAGGGTAAATTATACAAATCTGTCCCTCAATTATTGGATGTTACTTTGTTGAATATCTAAACTCTTAAAAGTTACAAAATCAATTATTTATGTATTTCAAACTCATCGTTTTCTGTTAAAAAAATTGATGATCGTCTAACCTAAACGTTAATCTTATTACTAAGATATGATAAATCATATTTTAATATTTTCTTTGTAGCACTTTTTCAATGACATAATATAAACAGAGATTTGATTCACGATGAAATACAACTCAACGATTTTAGGATCAGATTTTTATTATATCCCAGATTTTTAGTCAAAAGGTTGACGCCCGATTTAGACAGTGGTCAATGTTGTATTGAAAATGATGAGTTTAAAACTATAAATAATCGAATGATTATTTTATAATTTTTAGATAACTCAACAAATTAACATCGTATTTGTATATTTTTCTATATAAAAAAAGTATTGCCACGGTTAAAAAATGTCAGTTTTGAGACCAAATTTTAAAAAGAAGGTAATTGGGGTAACATTTTAATAATTTGAGGATATGATGTAAAATTAATGAGATTGAAGCTTTGCGAAAAAGAATGAATGTTTGACAGGCAAAGCCTGTGAGTCGAGTCCCACAGCCAGATTTACGTACCATCAATGCTCATGCAATCAAAAAAAGTCTTTTTTACCAACAAATTTCCTTTGCTTAAGGTGATCACATAGTTCCATTTTCATTTTGTACTAATAATTGAAAAAATCAAAACATGTTTAGATATATATAAAAAAAACCCTAAAATTAAACAACAACTAATTTATTAACATTTTCATTTTGTTAATTTTTTTATAAAAATAAATTAGCTGCCCCCAATGAAACATCTCCAAGTGTTTCTTTTTTCTCTCGATAAACATCAAAATTAATTAATCAAATTAAGCTGTGTTTAGTAATATTTTAACTTACATAAATCAATTAATTAACATTAAGAAAAAACAATAGCCTTGAAACAAAATATTTTAGCAGGCTCAAGAATCCTTTACCAGACAGACCCTGTAAGAAAACAATGTCGTTGCCTTTCCACATAGCTTCACGCCCTTTGTCTTTTATATGTTATAATAGGCACAATCACTTCAACCTGTCGGGGAACAAGCCAAGTTAAATAATTCATGCACAAATGCATCATTAACGACAACTTTAGCATAATTAATTCCACCTAATTTGCCTTCTAGCTTTTCATCTTCTTTTATTGTTATAATTGTTTTCATTTGATGACAGTTTTCAATCCAAATATAATTACTAACTTCAAACTCCACTACGGAAATTTACTTTTTTCCTGATTTCAATTTCAATCTTCGTCAAGTTATAAGAGTATTTACTTTATAAAATTTATGTGAATAATATTTTTATAATATGCTATTACTTAAATATATTATATTATTTTATTTGGTTTATTTCACAAGAATATAACATTATTCAAAAATAAATTTTATCAATAATTTTCGTGATATATTTTCTTTTTGGAAATTAAATAAAAATTTTTGCTTTGGAAATTAAATAAAAATATTTGCATGCAAATTATTTAACTATTTTCATCACTCTATCTAAATTTTACAAAAAAAAAAAACTTTATTTTAACATATTAGTACTATAATTAATATATTAAAAATTAAAATTAAATTTTATATTTGTATTTCAACATCTCCTTGTTACTCTTTAAACATTTTTTTGAATGACGAAATTATAAACATATTTTATTTGAAAGATGAGGAAAACAGAATTGTATCGTACTTAAAAAATAATAAGAATTAGGATGGTAAATAAGACAAGATAGATCATGAGTTATTCGAGTTTAACTTGATCAAAGTTCGATAAATACTCGACTCGAGTTCTTAATGAGCCAAAACGAGCTACTTAATACCCAACTCAAAAAGCTCAGGAGAAACTATAAAAAATATATTTAAATTTATTTTTAAATTAAATAATTAATAATATTAATACTTGTGTATTGATTTTTCATAAAAAAATATAGTATAAAATTTTCATGTAATTAAGATTTAGGGGTCTAGTTCGAATTTGAGCTTTAATCGAATTAAGTTTAACTCGAGCTTCAATTCGTGGTTTAGAGTTCAAGTCGACTTTAACCTCGCAAACTTTCAACCTAAATCGATCTCCATTTTAAAGTTTTTAAGTCGAGTAAAGTTTAATAATGCTTGAACTTGACTCGACTTGTTTCAGTCCTAATATGAATGATATTTCTACCATTTGAAAGAAAAATACTATTGTAGGTATAAAGATTATTAACCATGAGGGGAACTAAACGTTAAAATCATATTTAGTCATTTACATCTAATTGTTTTAAGAAGATAAAAAATATATACTCTAGTAGCTACTTATTAGGTTATATTAATTGCTGCTTAGTTAAGCTTTACGGTTAGTTTTTCTGTTGAAGCTTCTGTTGGAGTTTTGTAGTTAAGGTATTATAGCTGTGTATATAAACCAGTTCTTTGTATCATTCTTATTCGATTAATGAAAAATAGAAGTTTTTCCATTCCTGTTCGTTATATGGTATCAGTAGTTGGCTTCTTCATGCTTCACCATGGTTAATTCCTTAAACGATAGCTTTGATAATAAGATTAATATTCTCCACATGTAATCGACTTTTAAACCTTATTTTATCCGAATTTAAATGCAAACCCAATTTAAAAGTATTCAATCCTACATATCCTAAAACAACCATGACAACTCCCATTTTCAAAACATATATACTTGTCATGACTATTTTCAAACCACCTAAAAATGGTTTCGACTGATTCACTCCGAATTTGCTACTTAATTTTTTATTTAACGTGCATGGGTTGCTCCATTGCTTCTACAAGTAAACTTGTCAAGGTGAGATTTTTGGCGAATCAAATTCGACTTGATTCAAAAATTTGATATTTTTTTACTGGATTCAATTTAATAAAATTTGATTCTAATTAATTTCGAGTTATAATTTCATAATCTCGACTTGACTAAAAAAATCAAATTCAAATTGAGTTATAAAATAGAACTCGAATAGTAACTCAAACTTTTTAGTAATTAATAGATAAGTTTTTAAGTTTGTGTCGAGTCTCTCGACTCTGTATGATTTATGCATATCATATATGAAAAATATACAAATAAATATATATATGTATTATATATGTTTATAGAAAACCGTATAATTTGGAATCAATTATTATCATTTTATTATAAATATTTATAATTAAATTTAAACAAAAACTACAACAACTCGATTCAACTCGAACTTATAAACTCGAATAATTTTTTTAAAATCAAATATGATTTATAAGCTAGGACTAACCAACTTAAATAACTTAAATTTTTTTTATTCAACTTGACTTAACTCGACTGAATGCTCAATCTTAGGTGAGGTTGTACTTGGTATGTTAGTAGGAATCATGAGGTTACTTTGGAGATAGACTTGTAAATTGGACTGATTGAGTTGCTTTTAAGTTGTGTTAATTTCATATTTAAGTCATTTCCGAGTTGAGTTATTTTAGGTTGGGATCATTCAAATTTTAAGCTTAGTTTTTTCTAGGTCATTGCTCAGATCATATTTCAGGTCATTTGCAAAACACATAGGAACAAAGACTATTGTGCAGGTCATGATCTTTTCAAAGATCATTCGGTGCCTTCTCGTTTATAAGGAAGAAGAAGTCTTTTGACTTTTTAATTACCAACTTAAACTTTCGTTAAGGGGTTAACGAGAATTAACGATTGAAGAATTAAAGTCTAACGGACTGATAACGTCAGGGATCAAAATTACCCTTTCTTTAAAATCAATGATCAAAATCAAACGAATAAACAACATAAGAAACCATTTGTATAGTTAGTCTATAAATGTAAAATAAATTTTGACACCACGTTAATTTTAACCCTATATTTTTAACATCTTTTAGTTGGCACGAGTCTAATATAGTGATGAAGCTGCAGTTGGTTTCACTAAATCACCCCTTTCATAGAGGTGTTTTTTTAGAGGATGTAAAACAATGAATAAAAAATATAATAAAATATTTAAAACATATAATAATTTTAATAAATTTCAAATTTTTAGCCAGCTGGTTTTCTAAATATTTATTTTATTAAATAAAACAATTGGTCTAGTTATATTTAGAAAACAGTTGGTTTCACAATTGGTCTAAAAAATTTTAGAAAACAATGAATAAAAAATATAATAAAATATTTAAAACATATAATAATTTGAAATTTTTAGAAAACAATTGGTCTAGTTATATTTCAATTTAGTCCTTCGACACATGCCACTTTTTCAGTTTTTAATTAAATTCTCGGATTGAACTTCCTTTTAATCAAAAAACCAAACCTCCAACATACCAAACACAAGCCCGAATTGAAGGCTAGTTAATGGAGAAAGTAGCTTTGGGTTTTATTTTTATGTAGAACTATGAAAATCTACGTTTTTTTTAAGGTCTAATTCGAGTTAAAGAGGAAAAAGGGTTTGAAAGATTACTTTTTTGGTTCTAGACGGTTGAAATCGACAAACGACAATGGGTGTGGTTAGGAGTGTAAATGAAATGAGCGTTTGGTGAACCATTTGTATAACGATAATTTATGTTCGTTTGTTAAGCTAAATAAACGAATATTAACAAAAAAAATTATGTTCATTTAACGAACATGAATATAGGTGTGTTCAGTTTGTTTATGTTCACAAACAAGTTTGTTTATGATATCGTTTATAAGCTCGTTTATCGATTTTAAGTTCGTTTACCGATTCTCCTTTTCCTTTTTTTTACATTTTAAATATTAGTGAAGATAGAGATTCAATTGAACACATGATAAAAGTTGAAATTTTAAAGAGTTTAAGCACTAGTGACGTAATTTTATCATTTTTCTTTAGCTTGCAAATGAAAATAAAAATTGAATATATAAATGAATGATAAATAAACACTAAACCAACGATAAACGAATGTTAAACAAACATGTTTGTGAACATATAAACGAACACATTCACGGACATTAAATAAACATGTTCGCAAACAATAAATAAACGAACACAGACACCTTCAAAAATAAATAAACAAACACAAGTATAATATTAAAAAGGTAAACGAACACAAACACATTCAAAATCACATTGTTTTGGTTCTGTAACCCAAAACCCAGCTGAGATTAACCAACCTCGAGGCTAAAACCCAATTACTGGCTCCATTAATAAACATGCGGGGCTCACCGCTGCTGCATTACAAGATTGAACAAAAAACCTGGTCTCGTGCCCCCATTCATTCCAGCACTCAATTCTGCATTAATTAATAATTACTACCTGCCTTGTTCCAACACCAGAATTGCAAAAACTAGAAAGTAATTGCATGTAAATGAATTTTACAGATGATTTTGCTACCTTCCATGTTAAATGCCAATGTGATCCATAATTTCAATGTTCGCTGAAAATCATAATTCCAAAAGCTGATGTTTGGAGCTTTGTTCAAAAAGCTAGGGTTACTTGGTGTTTAAAGAATATATTTTCTTTTAGGGAGATCGCGAGGCCCTTATTTTCCGCTGGTGGTATGATTGTTCGGACAATGTGGATATGGCAAAAGACTAGGAAAAAGAAGGATAAAGTTCCCTGGCAGAAGCTGGCGGTGCTAGATCAGTTGGCTACCAAGGACAGGCTTCGTCGTATGGGACTGGCCACTGAGGGCTCTTGCGTGTTGTGTAGTGAAGCGGATGAAAGAATCATATATTCTTTGAGTGTCCGTTTTCGATTGCCATTCGAGGACCGTTTTGTGTTGGTGGGGGGTGCGACGTGGAAGCTCCAGCTGGGAAAGTCAGCTAAGGTGGGCTCTTGCTCGTTGGATGGGTAACTGCATCTCTGTTTAAGAAACTTTAGGAATTTGTATATGAATGGAGAGGAAATTCTTGCTTGCATCGAAGAGATTGTACAGGCGAAACGTAGTAGGAAGAATGTGTAAAGATTGTATAGTTGGGGGTATAGGGTTTGATTGTTCTATTGTTTCTTGTAGCAGCTTGCAGCTTCTTTCGATTATATACATGCATTTTATCAACAAAAAAAAATCCAAATGAAAAAAAGTATCCTTTAAAACATGGATACAACCACTAACCAACCAAAATAAACTGTTTATAGGGTTTCCATTTCTACATCAGCTAGGGTTCATCAAATGCCAAAAAAAACCAAAGAAAGATACATCATACAATACAGCCAGACCCCAAAAAAAGTAACACAAACCTTAAATACATAACACAAACCTAATCAGTTAACAAAACTTGAGGATTCAGATCAATGTATTGAATCTATGTTCTTACTGAGCTCTTCCAGCTTATTCATCCTCAACCTTTCGCTTTCACTCACCAGCTGTTCAATCAGTAAAAAAGCATATAACAACAAGGTGAGATCATTCATCAGCCACCCGAAAAACAAAGATATTTAACTCGATTCGCTTCTTTTGAGTTTGTTTTTGACATTACGATATAGAAACTAACCTCCATTAATTTCGTGATTAGCTGTACTTTTTCCTTGTTCTTGTCGTTAAACGCCTCGAGGGCTTCCTTGTATTCCCTTTCCTGTAACATTTTTCAACACCACGGCTCTTACATATTTGATACTATATTATATACACAATCGAAATGGATGGAAAAAGTTGAATGGCCTCAAAGTGTGATGAATTGGTACCTTTTTCTGGCAAGTATGTCCTAATGGCTTCAATTCTTTGTTAACTGCATCGATCTTCTTCCTGACCAGAGCAACTTCCTTTCTCATAGGATCTGCCAGTGCTTCAAGCTCCTGAAAGATTTACATGGTTTTATTTACAATCAGAAATAGCAGCAATATAACTATATGGAATTAAGACAAGTTCCAGGGCCAATTTTTTTTTTTTTTTTTGAAAAATATGAGATTTCATTAAAGGTCAATGGCATCATCAATTACAATCTGTCTTGTACAATCCGGCTCATCCAGAAAAAATCATAACAGATTGGGGTTCGACAAAGCCCACTGCACTATACCGTGCGCTACTCTATTAGCCTCCCTATTAACATAGAAAACTTTTATCCCTAAGTTGGAGGAGAGCAGCTTCCAGGGCCAATCTTGTATGTTCTAAAATAGGAAATTCTTTATAAGGCTCTCTTTAATAGTTCTTTTAGTACCTTTAACTGCAAATCTGACAGCTAAAGTGCTGCTAATTTCTTAAAGAATTGCATTATAGGTAACAAATTTATGGAGGAACAAACTCTTCTTCTTCTTCTTCTTTTTCAAAAGGAAAACAAACAAAAAGGCTAAACCTGAAATACCCATTTTTCATAAATTTCAAATCTGTTCCAGGATCATGAACATTTATCACCATGTGAGCCTCTAAACTCTGAATTTTGCAGAAATTGACTCTAAAAAAACCCAAACTTGCTCTTCTTAAACATTAAAAGTTTTAAGTTTTTCCAAGGGGGAGGGGGAAAGGTAAAGTCTGGTTTGAAGATACCTCACGAATCATGGCCAAACGTTTAGTTTCCTCTTCAACACGGCCTAACTGAAGCTGAACTTTCTCTCTAACCTCCATCTTCTTCCTCTCAATCTCTTCTTCTTTGGCTCTGAAAGTGGAAAGAGCAGACTTTGAGACCTCGTCATCTTCCTTAGACAAATGACTGCTAAAGCTCAGAGAGTTTTGAACCGTCAACTGGTTGTTCTGCTGAGGCTGCTGCTCAGTCTGCAACATATTGGCCAGCTCCAGTTTCTTCACACTGATTAAAAAAAATACCCCAAAAGAGAAAGAAAGAAAGAAAACCCTCCTTCAACCTTGAATTCCTCCCTTTATTATCTTTTTCTCTTCTCTCTTTTGCTTTAAAAATGATAGCTTTTGTTTCCCTTTCTTCTCTCTTCTTTTTTCCCCCTGTTGAGAAGTGCTTATTAAGGGTAAATTACATTATTGATAATTTTTTAAATTTTGTAATTTTTTTACTAAAATCAAGAGAGATAAGATTTATTCATTTTCGTTTTTATTTAATTAAGATATAATCACTAAGGATTAATTGTCGTTCATGATTTAACGGATTACTGAGTGACGTAGTAAATTTATAAAATTAAAAAGGATAAACTATAAAAATGATCACTAATATTTGAGCAAGTTTTTACTTTCCCCATTGAAACTTCAAAAACAACAAATTAGAAAATAAAACATTAAATAGGTCATTGAACAATGATTTTATAAATAATTTATTCTAAAAGTTTTCTGATTTTTTGTTTATCATTTAAAATATTAGATTGATTCATGTCTGAAAAAGTTAGTTTCTAAGTTTTATTATTTTTTTATTTTTAAAATTTTAAAAGTATGCATATAAAAATTGGGAAAATTGAGAACTTAGAAAGCTTTTAGGATAAATAGATATAAATCCATCGTTCAATGACATATTTGATGTTTTAGTAACAAATTTATTACTTTTGAAACTTTAGTGAGAAAAATAAAAACTTACTCAAATATAGTGATCTTTTTTATAGTTTACACTTTTTAACTTTATAAATTTATTGTGTCACATTAGAGATCTATTAAAGGTCTATTTACTATTAACCGTCAATGATCATATATTAATTAAATAAAAATAAATTGAAGAATCTTGTAATTTATCCCGTTAACAATGATGGCCTGTTGGTTTATCCTCCAAAAGCTTTTCTTTTGTGAACCAAGAATATTAAAAAAAAGATAAGTGAATTATTATTATGATATATTATATCGTTTTTCACTAAATTTTATTATTATTTTTATTTTGTTTATCATACTTTTAACTTTTTTTATTTTGTTCATTGAGTTTTATATATTGAATTATTTTATTCACTTTATCATTAATTTTTTGATGGTGTTATGACATGGCACAAACATCAAAATAAATTCGTTTTGAAAAACTCAAATATACACCAAAATGACGTTGTTTCGAATCTTCTTCTTCCCCCTATTATCGTCGTCGGCCACCACACCATTTTTTGTTTCGACTACCACCTACCATCATTGATGGTAGTCGTTCGGTACCAAAATTCATTGGTCGGGTCGTCTCGACCCCCTGAGTCCGAATTTGGTAGTTGTTTCACAGGAAAATATCTTAAAATTCGTGAATCTCAACTGAAATATTTCGGCTTTCTCATTTTTAATCTTCAATTAGTGCACTTCGGAGCAAGTTCAACAAAAATAGAGGTCAAGTTCGGACTCAAGGTGTCGAGGCAAAGCGACCCATGAAATTTAAGACCGAACGGTCACCACCTACGGCGATCGATAGTGGCCAATAGTTCATCCGACCACCTTCTGTTTTTATTTTATAGTTGGGTGAGCAAAATAGGAGAGAAAGTAAAGTTAAGTGAGTAACAGTGTAATTTACTCTTAATACTTTTAATTATTTTATATTAAATAAAAAAAATGACACGTCATCACACCGTTAGAGAATTAACAGCAGAATGAGCAAAATGATTCAATTTATAAAGTTTAGTGAGCAAAACAGAATAATTAAAAAGTACAATAAATAAAATAAGAGAAAGAGTAAAGTTAAAAAAAACGATGTAATTTACATTTGTTATTATTATTATAGAAAATTTAGGAAATATTTTCCAAAGAAAAAATTAAATGAGAAAAAGCAAGCAAATGACCCAACTGCCAACCACTAGTAAAATATAGGGAAGATTTCAACTTTTACTGACTGAATGAGAGAGCTTGTCCCTTGAGAATTTAAAGCCCAAATTATCTAAACTAACCCCACATGAATAATGTGTACATATTTTCATTTATTTTCCCACCGTTTACTTTTAATACTAATAATTATACCAAAAATCAGTTTTCTTTTCCACGTAATTAATCTATTAATTGATTATTTTAAATTAAATTTTATATAGATTTATTTTGAGGTGATCTTATTTGTCTAATGCATTTAATTTATAAGCGTTATAGTTCAAATTTCGGACTTTTCCTACAAATTTAATGCCTCGTCCACTTATTAGTACCAATCATTATTTGTTTACCGTGTATATTGTCTAGTATATTTTCCTGGTAAAATCAGTCCAATAATACTGGTGCAATAATTATTTAAGTTTTTAAGCCGACTAAAAAGTTAATTAGCAATCTACAACATTATTATAATGTTTTAAAACTTATCATGTGCGTATAACGAGTTTCAATAAAATAAATTTTTATTGAAATTTGTGATCTCGATGTGATATATTCTAATTAAAAATTATATATTTTTCAGAACTCATCATATCCATGTAACGAGTTTAAATAAAAAAATATTTTTTAAAACTCATTATTTCCACATGATAAATTTATTATTCACTGTAGTAAATGTTGTAGATCCTAAAATAAACTTGAAGATGCTCTATTGGCTAATAAATTTGTTTGACAGCATTTTTGGGCTAAATAAACCTATTTTCCTAGCATTTTAACATTTCTTTCTTTTTGAGTAAAAACAAATTGTTCCAAGGTTTATTCGGTTTGCATCTGCTTATTCAAACAGGCAATTTGTAGGATCTATAATTAAAAAAATAAACTAATGTTTATATTTCCAAAAATATCAACAACTAAACGGTATATATTTTATGAATAATGATGGTTGTATTTATTGCGGTAGATATAGGTAATTAAGAGTCTATTTTCTAGTTTAATTTACATGTTTAGGGTATTAACCGTTAAGAAAAATACTCCAATTGATTGTAATCGAAAAATGTTATTAATTTTACAGTAAAACGGCCAATATTTTAAGTTGAAATCAAGAAATATCATATTCTTCTTAACAAATTATGTAAATTATATAACTATTCTGATTGCAATATAAGAAATTATCTATCAGGAGACTCATGTAACGTTTCTGATTGTAATCGGAATTATTACAATTATATAATTTGTTAGAGTAGACAAAGTAACATTTTAGGTTAAAACCTATTATAATATAACAATTTCGATTAAACGAAATTATTATCATTTATATAATTTTTAAGAATAAATAAAATAAAACTTTAAATTAAAACTCATCGTAAATTAAAACTATCGACATGTTTAGAGCATATTCATTTTGTGACATAATAATTGGGTTTACGAATTATAAATTAAATAGAAGATTTGGTAAGGGGTAGATGAGGGAAGGGTTACCTACAAAAGTAAGCACAGCAAATAAAATAGAGCCTTAATAGCAAAAACAGGGCAATGTTTAAGAGGCAGTTTTAGCTAAACTTTTGACAAATATTGCTTACCAAAGCAAGAATCTCATCTTTTGAACTTTTCTCTTTGTTTATTCCCTTTTTAAAATTTTTGTATTTTTGCTAAAATATAGATAATAAATAAATAAAATATTAAACCTTTATTAAGAGACTCATCCATTAAAAGTGAGTGTACGATCAAGATTAATTCGGATTAATCAAAGTGAAAATTTGAAAATAGAAAGGACGACAAAAAAAAATTATGCAGAAAATTAGTATAGCTCTAGTATTTGTCTTCATATATTAATCGGGTGTTGATATTAGATAATGGCATGATTTAGTGATGGACTGATGGCTGTACTAGTTAATGCCTGCCTTTTGCTTTTGCTTTCCCTTGTATGGACCATTTTCTCATGAATTGACCAACTTCAAAGTTGAACAAATAATCCAATAAAATAAAAAAGTTTTTTTTTATTTTCTAATAAAATAAAACAATAAAAACGAAGGTAAAAATCCATTGAACGGTGCGATCAAACTGATTTTGAGCCTAGCAATCTCCTAATGTGTTTAAAAATTATTTTAATAAGTCTTATTAAATTAAGTATAATTATTTTTTATAATATCAATATATAGTTTTATTATTATTACATGTTAAAGTTTTACAATACTATATTATATACACATTCCATCAATCACGATACTTTTATTTTATTGATAATTTTTATAATAATAAATTTTGTTGTACTTCTTCTGAATCTTTTTTTGCAAGATGTATCCTTAGGGTTAGTTTTTATAATAATTAATATTGTTATATTTCTTTTAGATCTCTTTTGTTAATCAAAGTTTCTAGAGTTCGTAAAGATTTTCGGAGCCCCATACCATACAGTCATCGACTAGTCCTTCAACATAATTTCTTATAATTTATATAATCTGTCAGAGTTAAATTTATTATCTGATAAATCATATTTGTATGACCAAACAATTTACCATTACTTGAAATCAACGATTAAAAGTAACAAAACATAAACCTGAATGATCATGTAGTTTATTTTGTATTTTATTTTTCAGTTAATACTCTCTCTTGTGTCTTGTAGTGATTACGCACATAATTTTAAAATATATAATTAATTAAAAAAATGATAAAATTATTTTTGAAAATGTGATTAATAGATTTTATAGATTTATTTTAATATGAGTAAAAGAGTGAAATATATAAGAGTAAAAAGAAAAATATAAGTGTTGTTTTTTTAATTTTTTAAAATTATTTTAAACGGGATGAGATACAATTAATGAGACATAGAGAGTATTTTTTTTTTAATTTTTATTTAACGTAAACTACATGAATGGTAGCCAATGTGTAAACCCATCAACAAGCATAGTCACTAAGACCCATCAAGCATAACCACTAAGGTCCACCAAGTATAGCCACTAAGCCCATCAAATAAGCATCTCCCGTAAGCCCATTACCATATGCCTTATCACCAGATCAATTGATAACTATGGCCTCTAAGGCTCACTAAACACATATTGCTCCAAGGTCCATTAACATTTATGGCCACCGTCTAATTATTATTAAATCCCTGTATAAAATATTATTACTAGGGTCCAATATCAATTGTTATTTTTAAAGCTCAATCTAATGAATAATATTTATTAAGAAATATCACATTATCAAGTCATTAGGTTATTATCAATTTTAGGCCCAATCAAGTTAT